GATATAACTACGTGAAAACGAAAAGAGACTTGAAGTAGTGATTGTTTTCGGTATCTTAGAATGTCGGGGATTAATATGCCAATGAAATTTGTACGTTGGTTCAAAGAACAGAGTTTCGTTCGAAAACGCTGCGGCGTTAACAAGGGAGATGACGGCAGTAGTCATCACAGAACATTTAAATCTCCTTTAACTGTTCTGTGATATATACTCGTATATAACATGTGCGGTAATAAACTAAATACCTTCTATCAAAGACTGAACGGAATTTAATGAAACATTTAGTAAAGGCGCCGTCGTTTAGTTTTCTTTTTTAAAGACAACTAGACAACGGCAACAAGTTACCTACTACTAAGTTTTTTGAAATATAGTTCATTTCAATTATTTTCCAGATGAAAAAGAGTAATTCCAAAATACTTAGGTACGTCATATCATACATTTTAAACTTATAGTCTAAAGTAAAAATAAAATATCAAAATTAATAGTAGAACTAAGTTAAATGACTAAAGATCACAGACAGGAGACATATGTATATCACCTAAATATATACTATCTTGCTAAATTTAATTAAACAGCTGTCACCATCCAGTCACGTGTGACACGGTTAAATTAGAATTAGGTAATTTAAATCTCCCCTGGGCGATGTAAAATTATAATTCACTAATACTGCCATTTGGGTAGACTGAAGTCTTTAATTTATTCTTAGACAGTGTTTACATTGCGATACGCTTTTAATATATTTTTTTTAAGGGTCTATTTACTTCTACTACATCCCCTCAAGCCGTCACCGGTGCGATGGGGCGCGGGCGGTGATGTGTCGGAATCAAACCTATTCAATGTATGCTGACCTCTGTGTTAACATCCTAACATCCAAAATAATAATAATGGGCTTAAGTAAGAACAATAACATGCATGTACAAACCATAACATTAACATTATACAAGACACCATTAGTTCTTCTTCCCGAGGCAACGCCTTCGATTAAATACCTTACCTCATTTATGTGCGATTCCTAAAGGTGACATTGCATTGACATATTTAATGAATAATATTTTGAAGTTTTTTTTTTAATTTTATGACTTGACGATTTTGACTTTGTTGGACTGTTTTTTTCTCCTTTTTTACTTAGCTTAACTATAATGTATAGCAATTCAAAGATTCATTCTCAAATAAGACATGTAATCTTTGCCAAGCTTTTTTTAATGAAAAAAAATACCTTGGTTAAAGATTAAATAACCGTTTTAAAAAAGTTGGTTATACTATATTACAAATAATTAGCTTTCATCATCACCATCAGCCTATCGCAGTCCACTGCTGGACATATGCCTCTATCCATGTAAATAAGTAGATGGAAGCTTAAATGGCAGTGGGCTGGCCGACAACCTTTGGGGAAAATGAGTTCTTGAGTGGAGACCGCGTCTCGATAAACGAAGTGTAGGACGCCTACAGGCCAGGTGGACTGATGATTTGCGTAAATTGGCTCGCAGGACCTGGATACGAGAAGCCGAAATCGATCGAAGTAGCGTGCAATAGGAGAGGCCTAATTAGCTTTCATCAACAGCTTTTAATAGTTCACTGCTGGTCTTAGAAAGGAAGGATATGGCCTACTATACCACGCTGGCCAGACGGGTTGATATAGGGTTTATGTCAAGTTTTCCTTCTCTTTGTAGTGTTGTTGTCCTGCGTAGTTTGCCCCCTTAGTCGGCTCTTACGACACCCACGGGATGAGTAGGTGTGGTGATACTCTGTATTCTTAATCTGTCACCACACGAATAGCCATTAGCTTTGGCTAGCATTTGCTGTTACTTTAAAAGACAACAAACTGTAAATTTAAGATTTAACATTATTATTCAAACTTAAATCAATCCAGTCTGTTAAGTATCATGTACGGTGTCTATCGTACCTGTTTATTATACTATTTATTTACATACAATAAATGTGTTATCGTACAAGGAAAATTCAAAAATAACTAACCAAAATACAATGTACTTATTATTCCTCACAGTGCTAAGGAACACAATTGGCATATTTACATGTTCTATAATAAAACCGACATCATTTGATAATGTTGTTGTTTTACCTTTGCCAAACGCAAAATTAAAACTATTTTACACGCTTTATATTAGCTTCACTTGTATGTTTGTTTGTATGTTTGTAAGCGACTCCTTTGGGCGTGATTTTGACTGACTTTAAACGGTCAGAATTCGTTCAAACTTTGTAGATATATCGAGGACCGATGACAATTTACTAATTAAAAAAAAAAATAGTTTAAAAAACTAAAAAACACGCTTTCTATAGAAAACCAAACTAAAAAATAGAAAATAAATTTGAAAAAAAGCGTGGGGTGCTTTTTACTATTGACAACAGGCACAATAGTTTTTTTAAAACTATATTTTTTTTTTGCATGTGACGTGAATAGAATAGAATATATTTTGTAAATATGGGTAAGACATGACAGATGTTACATAAAGCTCAGCCATATTTTACCAGTGGCATGCACACATTTATAATAATAATATTCTACCACATTTGCACAACGCCATTCAGTCCCAAACTAAGCAGAGTTTGTACTATGGGTACTAGACAACTGATATAAATACATAAATACCTTTTTGTTTTGTAAATACAACATTAATCAAACATTAAATTGTTCATGCACGCAATTGTTTGACTTGAGCGGAAATCGAACACGCAACCTTTGGAATGGTCGTCACTTTTTCGTCATTTTTTGTATTAGGCTAAGTAAACATGTTTTTATATTCAAAGCCTCAATGATATTAATACGAAATCTTAACATTAGGTAATAAAATTAATTATGACACAATAGTAAACATGCAACACAAACTATACAATAGACATTGAGATAATACATCCATAATCCATAACAAAAAAAATACCTATAAAAATTCTGACCTGTTTATACACTGTAGCAAATTTTATCTACCAGAAATTTACGCAGTCTTCTCTTAAATATAACTGTTCCCAATTATTTCTACCCGCCCCGCAATTTATTATCTATAAGTGGTGCCATACAATAAACACTTTTGCTCGTTAACGTGATTTGACAACTTTGGTGACGTAATTTACTGAATCACAGAATCACATCAGCCAGACGTTCAAAACGACTCGGGTTCTGTTTAACAAACAAAGCTACTTCTAAAATATAAATACAATGTCAAAATATTATACTGCTTGAAATATAGTTTCTTAAACTGTCAGTAGTTTTAAGTTTAAACATTGATCGGAGGCATCTTTTCTCCCCGAATATGACGCCGTAGCGTGAGATTCAACTATACCGTAAAAAGCAGTAAGAAGTGCTTTATTGTTTACTATGGAGGATAGTCTATGTAAAGCATATAGCGTGTATGCGTAAATACAAAATTATTTCATTAAAATATTGACACGAAACATCACGAACATTCCAGAAAATTCTTTTAACCGCTCAATACCAGAAATCGTTTTAATAATAAATACAGGGTGACACGGAATAATGAGTTTTATAAACGAATTTGTATATCGAAGCGGGCAGTTCTTGTAAAGATTGGAGTCTGCTAGAATGACCCTTTACGAGTTGTATAAATACAGGCCGTCTTCGTCGAGCAGTGCAGTTCACTTTGACCTACAGTGCGATAAACATCGAAGCAATGAGGGTTTTCTGAAATGTTACACGTAAGATGGCAGCACTGTAGCGTCAGGTCCAACCACCTGTCAAAACACATACATGATTTGTATTTTTCGATCAATTTTTTTGGTTTATTCATTCTTAAAAACGTTACAAAAGAAATATTGTTTTCTAAAATGCCACAGTGTTGTGCAGTGCCTCTGTGTGCAATTAAAACTTTTGCGCCTCTCTTTTTGAGCTCAATCTTTAGTTCGGCAACCTTTCTCTGGCCGTAATCCATAATAAACTCAATAACACTTCCAAATACATAGAATTTCACTAAAAATTTATATGGTCGGTAAGAATCTGTGCTATCTGACAGCTGTTGGAGGATTGATTCAAGCAGTTAATTTAATGTATTAATAATTATAATAAATAATTAAATCAATTCGATACTAAAGACAAAACTCATGGTTCTCTGTTCATTATTTCATTCAGAAACAAAATTAATGATGCTTAATACAAATTGTGATTTGTTTAATACAGAGACAGTCTTTCAGCGTAAAGTGAAGTTTGTTCTGTGAAATATATATTTATGGGAATATTGACGATAGCTTTCTAAATTTGATTTCATAGCATTTCCCTATTACTAATAATTGGTTAAATAACATCTACGCAATAGTAAACTTTTAGATTTTCGCGTTCCGTGATATAGGTATTTTTTTTTAACTGATGAACAGAAAGCGCTTAATTGATGCATGCATTACATTTGTAATTTATTTTAGGTTTCATAGACAAAAAAATATCAAATAGCGAAGAAATATAGGTATTTACATACCATCATTTACGTATCAACACCGTTAACTAACGTCTGCTAACTAATAAAAAAATGTTTAAAAATTGAAGGTGTATTAAATGTAAACGTGATGATGGATTAACAAAATACATTTTTAAAAAGTTTTTTTCAATATTTCGAACTCGGTTAGAGCTTACACTTATTAAGATCATCACGAAGGAGATTTAAAAATTTAAAAACAAAAAATATTAAATACCGACAAGAGTCTACATATTATTTATGATTTTATTTCTACATTTATTGAGTTACAATAGCTTGAAATTATTATTACCTAATGAAAAACCAAAGATTTTTGTCGACTGATTTAACGGATAATATGCTAGTTCGGTTATGTTCAGTGTGAACGCTTTACGGTTTACGTTAGACAAACAATTAATTTGGCCTCTAATGAATTGCTGCCCCTACAAAGTTTATATAAATAAAGAATGTGTCGGTGCGGCCAGTGCGTTTCGTTCAACATTATGCGCCGGTCGTGGCCGTCAAACGCAGATTACAATGAACCGCAATCTTAATATTCCCGCCAATTCTATTTTTTCGCGCGCAACTATGCTGCCGATTATTTTCGTTCTTTTTATTACTGTTAGTGCAAGTGGACAGCCGTGCAATGATATAGACAGTGTTTACATAACTAAAGGTAAAACTTTAAAAGATGGTTCCATTGAAGATGGTGTCGTCTTCCCGCCAAAATATGTGTATTCGAAATATGTCGATGGTGAATGGAAAACTTTAGGATGTTTGTGTAAGCTCAAAAACTGTTTCCGAAAATGCTGTCCGTTGGGCTTTGTGATGCATTACAAGAATTGTGTGGAGAGACGAGATCAGGATCTAATACTAAACAATGGCTTAGATCTTTATGATGGAGTAAATTTTCGGGGGAAGAAGTTTTTGGAGCAGACCGATTTTGGTCTTGTCTTCGGCAAACCGAATTCGGAATGTTATATTGAAGATCCGGGGTGGTTCGTTCAAGAGGTAAGTAACTAAAGTTTGTGATATTGTACCTAATAACTGATGATAATGGGAGTCGATGATAACACAGTGCCTAAGTAAGAAAATATAAATGATAATTTAATAAAATCTAATAAATTATTATCTCGTGAAATAATGCAATTTAAATATTTCAAACACTGCAACTATTTAACTATGTTAAAATCTGGTTTTTCTAACAATCTTGTCCAAGGATATACATCAATGTTTTACATATAATATACCTACGTTATAAATAAGTACACACATACTCAGAAATGTGTTACCTACGAATTCATACAATCCTATTATCACAATTATATGCAGATTTAAAAACACATTAATAAAAAAAACAATGTCAATACATTCAATACTAGATGTTATTATTATTAATCTAAAATAATCCAACAAAAAGCTGCGATTCTCAACATTTGTAGAACTAGTTATAGCCTGCGGCTTCGCTCGCGTTATTATTCCTTCCTTTCCCGTGACGAACTTCCATACAACGGTTCAACCCTTGTTTTTGGAAGGGTTTTTGGCAATTTTGGGGCATGGTCAACTCAAAGTTAGGAGTAAAATCACCAAAATCTTTTCTTAGAGGGGTTTACAGCATGTACAGCGTCAGCTGCAAAAATTTCAAGATTGTAACCAAAGCGGTTTAGGATAGTTAAAATATTTTACCGATTGGTCTAAAAAATATGCTCTCACAACAAACAAACGAACACAAATTAGAAAAAGTGCGACCAGTTGCCAAAAAGCTAAGAATCAAAATATATGATGGTAATAAAAAAAGTTAATGGTAGAGTGGTTTATTGTTTACTCAATAGACTAAAGTAAATTTAATTATCTATATATCGGGGATCGTTTCTTATAAGATTTTATTAAGATTATCCATATATTTTATTAAGATTATCTATATTATAGATCTTATAAGATTTTATTGTTATAAAATTTTATTAAGTGAGTTCAATTACTTCATTATTTTAACACCGTACTAGTATAACGAAGATTTTAATCTAGTAAAAACGTTCATTGATTAGATCATTGTTTAAGCGGGATGGGTTTTTACTGTAATTTTGTGCAATGTATAAAAATATATATATATATATGTATATATTTATCAACTACCCAACATCAAGCGTTGGGCCGCGGCCCGCCAGGCATAATCACCTCGCCTGTTCGAAGGATCCTCTCTTTGTGTCGGAGCGACATGACACCATCCACAGTGATGATCCCAACGTGATTGGAAAGAACTTTAGCCAGCCAGCAACTTAGGCTACAACCCAACGGATGATTTTGGTTGTATATATGCTAATCGGCGAGAGAATTCTTCATATCGTGATACAGGATTAGCAATTCTCATTCATGAGTTACTCCGTAGTTCGGTGTGTCTTCGTTAGGTGGCGCTGTAGTATGATTCCGTTTCTTTCGTATGTAGGAGTCGCCACATTAACTGTCATTGATAAATTGTTTTAAGTATTCACTCCGTCCATCTTTATTATACAGCAAAAAGTATTGGTTAACAGTCATCAGAAGTCTAATTAGTATTTTGTAAAACAAATTGTTGGTCATTTTTTCTGAAAACATAATATTTTTGCCAAATCACTTAGAAAAAACGGCTAAATTGAGAAAGAATTTCACTTTAACTTCGAATAACTTTTGACTGAGTTGATTTATCTTGTGTTGAAATAACTTTGCCCTTTTTTGTAGAGCGTTCAATTTTCTACAAAAATATTTGATGGACATTGCAGTGTAATTTATTGTTCATCTATACTAATATTATAAAGCTGAAGAGTTTGTTTGTTTGTTTGTTTGTTTGAACGCGCTAATCTCAGGAACTACTGGTCCGATTTGAAAAATTATTTCAGTGTTAGATAGCCCATTTATCGAGGAAGGCTATAGGCTATATATCATCACGCTTAGACCAATAGGAGCGGAGCACCAATGAAGAATGCTTCAAAAACGGAGAAAATTTATTACTATTGAGAGACGCAGACGAAGTTGCGCGGGTCAGCTAGTTAGTTATAAAAATCAGAAGATTTTTTTTTGTTGTGTTATTCTTATGGGAAATCGAAAAGTGCGATGCGGACAACCTTAATGTTAATATTAAGGGCTCACATTTATAGAGGCCTAGTTTGGCATCTAAACGAAACTTGTGAGTTTGAGTTTGATTTTTTTTTTGTTTGAAACGCTCTGATATACATGTATAGATAGCTACACTTACAGACAGAACAAAAGACCGTGCTCATCACACAATTATTTTCCTGGGTCGATTGGATAAACGAAATCGAACCCACCGCTGCAATATGCTTCCGTTTCTGATCAAGTTTTAATCAAAATTCATGAAATTTAAGGGTTTTTAAGTTACGGTATGATTAAAACGAATATTAAACAATGATGACAATTGGATATGAATGTACAACAATAACAGGATGTAGGATTGTGTGGGCGTAACCTCATTAACTCGAAATAGTATTATACAGCCAATATAACAATAATTGTCGCTACAAACTTTCAATATCATCTCAAGTTTCATAGAAGGTAATAACAGCACTAAATATACACAAGAAACTTTAAAAATATAACCGACTTCAATTCGCCTTAAGCTCTATTCTTCATTTCTTACTTTTCATCCTTTGGGCAATTTGTGCAATTTTTTTGTGAATGGGACCAGGAAGGACAAATATACTAGTTACGCTCTTTCCTTTTAACACTTGAAAATAAATGGATTGCGTGAATGAGGATATGCATCAATCTGTCCCTACCATTAATCACCTTAATACATTATTAAATTACTTTTACTTCACAAACTTTTCCACACCTTCTTACGAATGTTTTATTACTACTCATCATCATCACCACATCAACAGCCTTAATAGTCCAGTGCTGGACATAGGCCTTTGCAGTGTTGTTGTCCTACGTAGTTTGCTGCCTTAGTCTGCTCTTACGACACCCGCGGGATCAATAGGGGTGTACACGGAATACTTACAACTAATAATTATTTTTCTAATAGAGAACATATTTCAACCGTAGTAAAAAGAATACACAAATTTAATTTCAAATGTTTAATATTGAAATACGGAGAAGGACAATCGTAAACATTTCAAATGAATTTTGATGGCATGTCTACATCCTGTGCCAATATAAACGGGATATACCCGTTTATTCATCAGAGTCCATCAGTATGAGACCTTCAAAAATTATCGAATGTCTTAACTGGTTCAACAACTTCGTTGAAATCAAGTTTGCACTATTTAAGGGAATCTGCATCTGAATGTAAAACGACGCAGTTCATTGCGTGTTGTGCATTACATGGGTAAAAATATTGTCGTTAAGACACAGCAGTTGATCAATATATCTCAGCATTATCAATCATTCATAAGTTCTGAATGAATCTGGGTACTAGCCTAATTCGTGCTTTACATATACAAGTAATGTGTAATAAATAAACACTCAAACAAATACAGCCTGTATTTGTTTGAGTGTTTATTTATTAGTATTTATTTACACAATCTAAGAAATTAAAACTTTTACTAGAATTATGCGGTAATATGGAGTTTTAAAACTTCTTAAATGAATTTTATTACTAGTTTCTGACCGCAACTTCGTCTGCGTTAAATTAGGATTTAGTACAGAGAGAAATGAAACAGAACAAAAAAAGGAAATAATTTGCTGCGTACTAGTTCCTTTTCCTAGGTGCCATCTATGTTTTTACCAAAATTAATCAAAATTGGTTCTGCAGTTTAGGTGGTACACGATCTGGGTGTATCACGACCTTGTAATTATCGCTAGTCACTCTATTCTTAGCTATTTTAAATTCATGCCCTTAAATGTTGTGATCATGTAGAACTTGTTGTATTTCTTTAACCGTGTTTCTTTCTACACCTTGTACGTACTCAGAACGCCTATTGGCTTGTGCTTCCTTGTCTTTATGAAATTCGTTGTTGTTGTGCACTTTCAGCAACAGCGCGTCTGCGAGATTCTGCTGCAGCAACGGTTTCTGTAGATCTTGTGGACGCATTGTATGTCGCTTGCTGAAGACGCCGAACTTGGGACTGTTCTGGTGTCTCAGCAATACGTTGAGATGCTAAATATTCCGCATGCTGTTGGGACTATTCTGGTGTCTGATCAGCTCGTAAGGACGTCAGGTATTGAGTGTTCTGGTGTCTCAGAGGCCCGCTGTTGACGCCGCTATTTAGCATGATGTTGACACCGAGTTTTAGACTGTTCTGGTGAATACCACCACCTATTCAAGGCTTCGCGATTCAGGTTGTGGAAACGTCTCATCAAGTCTTTTAAAAATAATAAACCTCTAACTTTCATAGCTAGAGCTTTATTAGAGCTTCGGCTATGCTTTCACGGCACTATTCTTAGCATAGTTGCTCTTTATACATTGCCAAAAAATCCAGTACTGCAGCTATTATTCTTTTATTTTATACAGTTATTATTATTTTATACTCCCAATATATAAAAAAATGAAATGTACCTATGTAATAATTTAAACAAAAACGAAATAACTTGTTTCAAGTGCAACTCACGACAAAAAATCTAACACCGACCTATCACAAAAAATAAAGTTTTAACAAATCGTTAGTGCCTTAAAAATTGCAAAACGGACACAACGATCAACGACGTCTGACCTCACGCGTCTGCCCGCGTTCGGGTCGCAGTGAGGTCGCACACTCGGCGGTGACCAAATTCTTCCCCACGACTCCCGCCGCCGCGCGCCGCGCCGAACGCTGCGCCATGCGCCCGGCAGCCGCTCGACCACCACATCTCGATATCATTATTTTGCTGCGGTGTTATTTTAAAACTGCGATATCTACTAAGATATTCACATCACATCATCACATCAACAGCCTATAACAGTCCACTGCTGGGCATAGGCCTCTCCTGAGAAAGGAGGTTTTGGTCTACTATACCACGCTGGCCAGACGGGTTGGTACAGGGTTTGTTTCAAGCTTTACTTTTCTTTGCAGTGCTGTTGTCCTGCGTAATTTGCTCCCATAATCGGCTCTTACGACACCCACAGGATGAATAGGGGTGGTGACATTCCGTATTCTGAATCCGTCACCACACGGACCAGATATTCATTGAAATCAAATAATGTAAAGTAAAAATTTTGTTATTAATTAAATACTTGTGATGAATAACGAATTTATTTGGATAAGGATCAATACCATGTTTATAAACAGCTTCCCAAATAATGCAATATTTTGGAACAAATTTGAATACCATAAAAAAGGTGAGTCAACTGAGTGAATTTTTTGTAGAACTTTTTAAGTGATACATTTCCGTCATACATTATATTAAGTCTTGTGGATTTCACAGCGCACGCGATAATAGCCTGTATATGGGAGTTTTTTTCCGACTTACGTGACAGTTACTGTAATATTTTGGCCAATATCTTTATAAATTATAGCCTATGTCCTATTTTAATGTATAAGCTATATTAATGTAACGTTTAATTAAAATCCATACAAACTCTCGCGTACGTTTAACGACGTACGTGATTATACATCAAACATAAGAAGAGAGGCAAACCTACAATAGTTTAATCATAATCGTCATATTCTAACAATAGACTTTCCTAAGGCTTCTCTTTTAAGAATTGATAATTCGTCTTTATTCGCTGAAAGCAGTAGAAATTAATTTTAAATTACAGACGCAAAGTCTATTCAACTACTATTCATTTTGTTTAGAGTTTGAAATTGAATCTAAATTTAATCTACTTAATGTTCTTTTTGTATCTGGTTACCGTATTGTTCGTTTAGAACAGGGATTCTCAAAGTGGTCGTTTCGGGTTTTCCCCAAAAAGGAAAATTGATTTTGGGGATCGACGAGGTCTAAAAATGGACCCTTATTAATTAACACAAGTTCTCATTTGAAAGTTTCAAGATACTGTATTAGTTGTGTTACGTGTATCTGTAACTTGTTATAAGAATGACTAATATTTTAGTAGGCAGTATCATTGTTGTACTTTAAAAAAAACTCAATTTGGCTATGGTTTTATCATATCAGATTATTTTAGAAAAGGGGTCTCTTGCCCAAAATAGTTTGGAAATATCTGGTTTAGAAGACTACTTAAGGCGTCATTTGTATTTATAATAATAGTCTGGTATTGTTATTAAACCGCTCAGTTTTAATAAGAAAACCTTCAATCTAGTGCTTTTGAAGCTTATTGTTGTAGATAGTCTGCTGATAGTTGCTACACGTCTGTCCTTTGTTCTTAGTTGGTCGTATGTCCTTCGTCCCTTTTTAAAACACGTGAGACTTCATACATGGGCAAATATTACAGACGAAATCAGTAGGTATTTGAGATGTTATTAATAATAATAACTACAAATCTCACACACGGCAGTCTAGTCACGGATTCAAACAAAGCAAAACCCATAACCTCCGGCTTAACAGTCTGGGTCACTAACTACTAAACCAAGAGGCCCTTCAACATATCGAGACATGTTTGGTTTGCTGATCGCTTCGATCATGATCGTTAAGTATGAATAATAACGATTATGTAAATTACTTATTAATTAATATGCTTATATAAACACAAGTATATAGATGTAAGGCAAGCCTAACAAGCCCGTCTAACGAATATTGGGAACTAGCTGACACGCGCAACTTCGTCTGCGTCTTTTAAAAGGAATAAATTTTCCCCGTTTCTGCAACATTATTTATTAGTGCTCCGCTCCTCTTAGCGTGATGATATATAGCCTTCATCGATAAATAAGCCATCTAACATTGAAAGATTTTTTCAAATCGGACCAGTAGTTCCTGAGATTAGCGCGTTTAAACAAACAAAAAAAACTCTTCAACTTTATAATATTAGTATAGATTAAACATCCAAAAACAAAAATAGTTTTGCCATTGCTTATACGAATGGCATGGAGGTCATAAACCATTATTTACACCCCCCAAACCATCCGGTCCTGACGATCCGCTGGAATAGAATATAACCCTAAACCTCTTGACGGGCCAGTTCGTCTAGGGTTTAGTGACTTTGACTCCTAAACCGGAAGTCGTGGGTTCGATTCCCAAACAGGACAAATTTCGTTTATTCCATCTAAGTGTAACTTATCTATGATATGTTTGTATTTAAATATTATGTTTATATCAGTCTGATTATTAGAGCGCAGGCTCTGTCAAATTTGGGATCAGACGGTCGTGTGTGAGATGTGTAATGTAATTATTATTATTACCTTTACTCGTAACTCAAATTTTGCTGTTACAGAATCTGAGACCTCTTAACTTAATCAGTGTTCAAATTAACATGAATTATAAATCTTTAACTGCTGTTAAACTGTTGCATCTGTATCCCACGATTCTGATTGATTGTTTATCTGAACTAATCTTCTGATTGTTGGATCTCACGCGACTATAATAGAACGGCTTTTAATAAATGATTACAGAACCAGGACTAGAATGCTAACACTATAAAAAACCTAAGTTCTAATTCTATATGGCAAAATGCCAGTAAATCATTCTCGATTCCAGATCAGATAAATTGCAGTTAGTGTAAAATTTACACACTTAAAATATAACATTTCAAATCTAGACTGCATTGTTTGTTTGTTTTAAACGTGCTGATCTCAAACTTTTACAAGACTGCCATGTCAAATTCCTTAAGCATAATATAGCTAGTTTGTTAAAGAAAGTAGCTGTGCTAATTAATCTTTAAATGGAAATTCAAATCAGGGTCGCATGCAACTCGAACTGATTGTTACGATATTCAATATTTCCCATAATCTGTTTTATGAATTTATTTATATATATTTATTTTTATTTGCTATATTTATCTGTCCTGATGATGACATATCAGATAACAAATCTAAGATGACGTAGTGGTTGATAAATATTTGAAGAATGTTGTAAGTTAATATGTCGATTGTCCGCCATGACATTTTAAATTGAATCAATATAAGTTTTGAGCTAATCTACTTTATTGTTTTATAACTTTCATACACAAAAAAGTAATCGAAATTAATCCTTAATTTCACAAAAGCTTCATTTCTACTATATATTTATAAAAGTAAACTATAAATTAAAATTTGGATGGATCTAGAATTACGCAGTGATATTTCCTGCACAAAAATGTTGTCTTTTAAAAAGACACAGAGCGCAAAAAATAAGAGAGTGGAAATAAAAAGGTCATTGATGTTAATCTTAATTTATTCATATATGTTTCGTTTTAAATACATTGGTCTGTCTGGACTCAAAACACATCAAGATAAGAGACATGAGAACAATTTCCAAACAATGTACAACAGTCTACATCATGTTAAAAACAACATTTGATTTGTGTATTTTAACCAACCTTTTAAAATACCAACTGTAAATTATTGATCATTAAAAAATTTCATTATTCAACAAAAAAACCGAAAAACAACATCAATGAGGATGATATCGTTTCTTTGAACATATGAATGATTAGTTTATTTTATAGCTCATAGTCTAACGAATTTCACGGGCCTGTTGGTCTAGAGGTTAGTGACCCTGACTGTAAACCGGAGGTCGTGGGTTCGTTTGAACCCAGGACAAATATTATGTGATGAGCACGATCATTTGTTCTGTGTCTGGGTGTAATTTATCCATAATATGTATGTATTTAGAAATTTATAAGTATGTTTATCAGCAATCTGGTTACCATAGTACAGGCTCTGCCTAGTTTGGGATCAGACGGCCGTGTGTTAGATGTATCAAATTTATTATTATTAATATTTTATATAATTCACTTGGTAGCGCTATGTCGTGCTTGTAACACATCGCGCGTGGATTATTTGCATTGTAAATAGGTAGGAATACATTGACTAGGTAATCATACTGATTGCTATACTAAGTAAGTAGCTGGGGAATTGATCAGCAGTTTCATAATACTACTCTATTACCTATACCAATCTACTATACTACTATTACTCTACTAGGCCAAGGGTTATCGTCTGCGGTATCTCCGGACCGATACGACCTTCAAACCCTAAAGAAAAGAGCGTACTCCTTCCTAAAAGGCCGGCAACGCGTTTGTGACTCCTGAATTGCAGACGTTCATGGGCTTCGATGGTCACTTTCCACCAGGTGACTCGTCTGCTCGCCTGCCCCCTCAAACATAACAAAAAGAAATAACATTCAGAAGTGTATTTAAATCAAGTTTCACTAAAAAGTAATGATTAATTGAGAAATTATTGTGAAGTAAAATTTGCTATCAGGGTTCGCTGGAAGAAAACTCAGATTTGGGTTAAGCTCCCCTTTGTACACATAGTTTCCTTAATCAGTTACTTAATATTAATATGTACAATAAAAAATAAATGAAAAAAATAAATTAAATACCAATGTCTTCAACGTGGTTTAAATGTTTAACTTGAAATGTGTATCTAATCTAACTAAAATCTAACTAACTGTGATCGAAGCCCAGCTGCTTTAATCCTTCTTTTGTGTATGCCTTTAAGTTTTCTTTACATTATGATCGATAATATTTAATGTGTAATATGAAAACGAAAAATAATATGAAATGAAAACTATTGTTGGCGGTGTCGTGCACCATACATCCATGCACGCGGATCCATATTACAGTGCCCTTTTTATTTTTTTTTCCGTGCGGAAAACCCCTCGGATACCACCTGTCGGTTTCATGTCGGGCTCAAACCGACTAAAACCGCACGCCGTCTCGGGTACTAATAGCCGGGGAACCAGGTATACCCTAGAAAGGAAGTCCCTGGTGCCCCGACATTTATTCTAGTGCCCTAATTCTATATTACAGTGGATATTTGTCCAATTTTATTTACACAGTCTA